TTTTTCTAAGTGGTGATTAATAAGCAGCCAGAAGTTTTAAGAAATTTTGGGTTTTAACAAAATTACTGCATTTCATCTACTCTCAGATGCTACTATGGTAGCTACCCTGATTTTAGAATCCATAAAATACCGTATTTTTGTAAGTGTTCGTTTCCATTGCATCATTCCAATACCATGAATATCACATCCAATTTTAGTTTCAGGTCCTAAAGACTGCTGAATGATTGAAATTTAAATATGAACTATGACAATCAGCAACCTAAGTACAAAACTTTTAAAGATAAGCTGTGGGGCGCCTGGGTGGCTCAGTCGGTTAAGCATCTGACTTCGGCTCAGGTCATGATCTCACAGCTTGTGAGTTCGAGCCCCAGATCAGGCTCTGTGCTACAGCTCAGAGCCTGGAGCCTGCCTTGGGTTCTGTGCCTGTGTCTCTCTCTGCCCCTCCCCCACTTGCGCTGTCTCTCTCTCTCTCTCTTTCTCTCTCAAAAATATTGAAAAAAAAAAAAAGATAAGATGTTAAACATCACCAGTCTCTGAAGTAATCCCGCAAAGTTCCACATAAAACCACTGCTGGCCTAGGCTCTACCAGTTTCGTTATCAAATCCTATCCCAGAACCACTACCTCTAGTCACATGAGTATGTCAGAAGGAAAGGAACACTCCAGGCTGGTTTTCATAAACAGTCACGCCAAGTGGCACATTCACTCTGGGAAATAAGGAGTAGCGTGAAGGCCACACTAAGTAAACAGAGCCAGCATCAATATGGCAACACAATCATGGACAAGCTCAGTTCTGCACAGTTCTCATAAAATCAAATGCCCACACTCCTACTTACAGAGTCTAAAATTCTCCTATGTGTTTGATGTTTGCTTCATTTAACATTCGTGTTTTGTTTCATTGAAGTAATTCTGATGTTGGTTCCATTTTGCACTAATTAATTTCTGAAAACCTAAGTACAAACTAGTATCCAAGCTTGAGACTAAATTTTATACTATTTTGAGATAGGGAAAATGTGCTATCTAAAATGCCACCATCTATTATTATTTCAGGTTTTACTCTCTTCTTCTAAAGGGAAAGGGGTTTTTTCTTTGTTTTTATTTTTGAAACCTTTGAGTTTTTGGGGGGGGTTCTTGTTTTTTTGCAAACATGCTCAGGTTACCCTAAATGGATTTTAAATAGTCATTATTCCTCTCAGGCTGAAACAATAAAATAATGCTTCTGCTTTTGAAGATAAAGGTTTATAATTCTGCTTCTAAATTCTTTAGAACATTTTCATTTCAGACAGCACATTAAAAGAAATCTTAAATAAAAGAAATTCACAATTAGAAACGATTATCAGGAACCCCTGGGGGGCTCAGTTGGTTAAGCATCCAACTCCTGAGCTCGGCACACCTCAAGAGATCGAGAATTTGATCTATTGGAATGATTCCTGCTGATCTGACAGTGCGGAGCCTGCTTGGGATTCTCTCTCTCCCTCTGTCTGCCTGCCCCCTCAACACTCACATTCTCTCTCTCAAAATAAATAAATAAAACTTAAAAAAAAATGAAAACATTATCAACTAACCTGATTCAGCAGTTAACTATGAATTTAAAGAGTCTTTTTTCATACAACTTAAAACATTTCAATACCTGCTTGTTCTCAATTCCAACGTGCTGGCTTGGATATTTTCGATACATTATATTTCTCCTGCTCATTGCACATTCACTTCATTTACACATACTTTGATAATCTGACAATCATTTCATAAATGCATGAACTGTGAAATGAAATTGACAAAAAAATTGACAGAATGTCACTTATTCACAAAATCTAATTACTTATAAATTCAGAAGATATGTATGGCAGTATGGATACAGGGCTCTTGGTTCTTTTCTCGAATTCTGGAACTAAAATTCTCTATAATAAAAATGGAACCATGCTAGGCCTGAATACACATTTCATTCAAATCAACTTCAATCTACTACAAATAAATTCATTAAAGGAATGTCATCAGTAATTAAAGATAAGTTACTGGTTTCCATCAAGATAGCTAACTGAAGAAGCAAAGAAATGACAGCTGATTCAATAATTATTGCTGGGGACTATGTGCCAGCCCTAAGGAAAACATCTTTCATAAAGCTTGATCCCCACCTCCATAATTCCTCAAATATTACAGATGGAAGAAATATTTGATTGTGCATTTCTTCCATTTACAAAAGAAATTATGGGTGGATTTTTTTTTCTCATTTAAAAAAATTAATCTTGGAGTGGAAAGGACTTTCAAAAATGACAGAAAACTCATTAGCCATAAAAGAAAAGATGGACAAATACTGTTTCATGAAGATTTAAAACTTCTATTTGGAAACAACTACCATAAACAAAACCAAAAGTCCAATAACAAATTGGACAGGTATCTGGACTATGTGACAGCCAAAGGGTTCATTTTCTTCATATAAAAAAAAGCCACTTAAACCACCAAGAAAAAGAAAAATTCTAAGAGGAAAATGTGATCATATTAGGATGTCAGACAACAGGCACTCTAATTTGCTACTGAAGATTTAAACCTAGTTAAACTTTTTGCTGGCATTTGATGGTATCTATAAAAATGTTAAATACATAGACCTTATAATGCAACAATTCTACATCTAGGAGTTTATCCTGCCACTAGAGTTACACCTATGCAAGGGTATTCCTTTATAGCACTGTTGATAATAATAAAAGGAGGGAGGAAAGTTGTGTCTGCTATGATACTGCTATACAATGGAACAGTCTAAATCCAGTTTTAAGTGAGATTGCTATAAATATTAATATGAAAACATGTTAACGTTGTTAAAATAGAAAAAGCAAAGTTCTATGGCAGATACTTCTATTTATTTACCAAATCATATTTCTTCTTCCTCCAGGGCACACAGCTAGACTACATTTCCCAGCCTTCTCTGCAGTAATGCAGGGCATGTGACTAAGGCTGGCCAATAGAATGTGTGCAAAAGTAATGCCTGACACTTTCAGGCCTGGCCCAGGAAAACCTGCCTTGTGATCTCTGATGCCCTTTCACATCCCCACCACTGTGAGTAAAGAGACCAAATGAAAGGAGCCTGGCTTCCCAAGTTTCCAACTTAATACAAAGCTGCCAAAGAGTACCACCCAACCAAAGACACCACACATTGAACCATTATGAGAGTGAGAATTAAAATTTTATTATGTGAAGCCACTAAAATTGTAAGGTTGTTGGGGCGCCTGGGTGGCGCAGTCGGTTGGGCGTCCGACTTCAGCCAGGTCACGATCTCGCGGTCCGTGAGTTCGAGCCCCGCGTCGGGCTCTGGGCTGATGGCTCAGAGCCTGGAGCCTGTTTCCGATTCTGTGTCTCCCTCTCTCTCTGCCCCTCCCCCGTTCATGCTCTGTCTCTCTCTGTCCCAAAGATGAATAAGCGTTGAAAAAAAAAAAAATTTTTAAAAAAATTGTAAGGTTGTTACAGGAGTTATGTTGTAACTTGTAACCTGACAAATACAGGTCCCATTTGTGACTTCTAAATAAATACACACACACACACGCACACGCACACACACACATACACACACTGATACACCATATAAAAACATAAAGATGAATATTAAACCATAAACAGCTGTTCTCTCTGAGAAATGGGCCTAAAGATCAGGGAAGTAAATAAGGATGCTTTTGCTTTTCACTTTCTACTTCTTTGTGCTGTTTGACTTTTGTTTCTGTTATTTTACATTCATTAAATAAGAGTTCGTGAAAATCAGAGAGTTGTTAAAAATGTCAAAGTTTATCTGAAACAAAATGCCAGCTTATATTTATATTTAATTGCCACAGTACTATAGACTGCCTTATATCACTGTATCAACCAAAGAAACAATTATCTCATTTATAATGCTCTACATTTCAGCCTTTATTATTTCCTCTAAAATTTGTTCATTTTGTACATATTAGCTTAAGATTTATAAACTGAATTTTTTTACGTTTAGCTTTTATTCTGACTTTTGTCTTTAATATCCTAATATTTACCTTTATGCACAGCAGAAAGACATATCATGCTTCAAAATGCTAAATTCCATTTTCAATAAATATTTGTGAACTACAGTGCATTCCATTTCTTCTACCTTAAATGAATAAATAATAACTTATTGAATGTTTTACATTTTCTCTCAAAATTTGCAATAATTTTTAAGACATTCACTTTTTCACCCTTTCATGTTTTCCAAATTTCTCCAGATCATTTTTCCATCTGGATTTTTTGGGAGGAAGGGAGGACAAAATACTACAGGAATGACTTCATCCTTTGTAATGTCATATTCCAAGTATAAAAACTATACATTATAGGATCTTTTATAAAACTTTAAGCCTTTGAGGTTTGTTTGAATGTCCTGTTTAACTAGCAAGTAAATTTTGGTTGATATGTTCCCTCACTTATTTTTGATAATTCGCATGTATAAGTAAGATCCCTGCTTGACACTTCCTCATGCTCATCTCCTATTTACCTTAAATATACATGAGTTTATTACTAATGAAAACTTCTTGATCCTATTACTCACACCTGCTTGCCTCAGAACATGAACTTTAAAAAAGAGAACAATTTTGGGGCGCCTGGGTGGTGCAGTCGGTTAAGCGTCCGACTTCAGCCAGGTCACGAGCTCGCGGTCCATGAGTTCGAGCCCCGCGTCAGGCTCTGGGCTGATGGCTCAGAGCCTGGAGCCTGTTTCCGATTCTGTGTCTCCCTCTCTCTCTGCCCCTCCCCCGTTCATGCTCTGTCTCTCTCTGTCCCAAAAATAAATAAATGTTGAAAAAAAAAAAAAGAACAATTTTTAAATAATTGCAATTATTTTAAAAATCAAACCAGAC